ATCCATATTTTTAGAGCAATTGCCTAAGAAATCAGATGAGGGACTTCAAGGCAAAAGAAGAACTCCCAGTCCCCAGAGGGGTGGCTCTGGAAGGGAAGGGGCATGGCCGGTCTCCTGTTTGCTCAAGGCTGGGCTTGTTCCCTGCCAGCATTTGCTCAACCACAAGCAGTAGAAAGGTTACTGTTTAACCCTGAAAGGGCTGAAGCTCAGAGCCCAGCCCATCTGCATGGAGGAATAGGCCCTCCAGGCTTGGGGGTTGGGCAGGGAAGACTTCCCTGAAATTCTTTCACAAGGATTTGCCTGGAGGGCCATTTCAAAGTGGCCATTTCAGTGGAAGCAAGACTTGCCCGGGCCAATTCTGAGTTATCTCTTTGGTTGACTCATAGCTTCTACTCCCCTACCCCTCAAAAAAACCACTTCCCCCCCAAAAACCGGAAGGCAGGGTAGTACAAGGGCTAAGCACCCTGGCTTTGGAGTTGGGGAGATGTAGGCTTAGATCCTAGTTCTTCTGCTCATTGTGCAAGTTCCAAGTCTGCTTATCCAAAAACTTTCTGATGCTCACTTTCTCCACCTGTAAAATGGGAACAATCCCATACTCAAAGTCCTGTAAGAAACTAATGAGGTCACGAATGTAGAGAGCTTAGCAGGTAGTAAAAAGAATATAGTAAATGCCACAGGATAACGTGGGCTCAATGCCCACAAGCCCCTTTACTCAAGACAGAAGTAGCTTCTCATCATGACCTCCTGGAGGCATCCAGAACCACTGTGAACCCACAGAGGAGCCTCAAAAATTACAAGGTTGCTGGGCCCCATCACCATCCAGCCCCCCAAGAGGCTGGGGTGCATGAGCACTGTTCCCTCCTGGCACCCCCTTTCCTAGAGAAAGCAGCCAGCGTGGTGAGGGGCCCTTTTTTACAGGGTGCAGTAAATGGTTACTACTCATAAAAGAGTTTATGTGGCTTAACTCTTAGTGAGTCAGAGTTCACTGGAGCTCACCCAGGCTTGTAAGGAAAGAAGGTCAGCGTCTTTAACGTAGCACAGCACTGCAGGGACAGTGGCCTCAAGGTGGGCACAAAAGGGCCTGAGGGTGGCACAGCTGAAAGCCTTTCACCAAGTCCTACCCTGCTCTGAGGCCCAGTTCTTCAGGTGTAAAATGAGGACATTTGCCCCCAACAGCCTCACAGGACTGTTATGGCGATCAAATGAGATAATGGATAATAAATGTGCCTTGAGAATTGTAAAGATAAAAATAAAAAAACATTATTATAACTAACCCACCCACACTCCCATATACTAATGTAGACTTTCTTTGATACATGGTGGTTACTTTATGGTGTAAAAGTAATCCTTTTAATTAAAAAGTAGGAGGATTATTTAATGCTCTTCTTTAAGCTTTCTACTTTACCTTCAGCATAGCTTTTATTATTTCCTATTAAAAAGGAAAAAAGCATCGAGGGTATAAGGTAGAGACTTGGGAATCTTCGAAGCCTGGATTAGAATCCAGGCTCCATCTTTGAGCCACGTAACCTCGAGTGTGTTACGTGGCTCAAACCTTTCTGAGCCTCAGTTTCTTCCCTTGTTTAAAAGGGGGAGTCATGGGGAATGTGACTAAAAACTGAGCCTAAAATCTGTTTTGAAAGATAAATCAAATAATGGATTTAAAGGTATCTAGTTTGGTACCAGCACTCACGCCCTCAGTGAAAATCAATTTCTTTTCCTTTCTTTAAACATCAGTTTTCAAGGTGTTTCTCCAACACACTTTACTTTTTCTAGGACTGAAAAAGTAAATTTAGAGCCTACGTAAGAATGATTCCACCTTTTAAGCCAAAAGCAAGCTGGGAAAAGGACCACCCATCCTTATGTCTAGCTCAAGGGGGGAATTCTAGGGGGTGATCCTCAGCCACGTGGGCTGGGTGAAAAGCAGAGTTTTGCAACCTTTGCATGACAGACATTTTGGGCTGGGGTGGTTCTTTGTTGCAGGGGCTGTCCTTGTGCATTGCAAGACGTTGAGCCGCATCCCTGGCCTCTAGCCACTAGATTCTAGCAGCATCGCCCCCTCCCCTCCCAAATGTCCCCTGGAGCCAAATTGCCCCCAGTTAAGAACACTAGTTAAAAATAGAGCCTATGGAGGTGACAGCTCAGGCTTTGATCTTGCTGGTGTGGTGACCTTGGGCTGTTAATGTGCAGATTAAATGAGAAATGTCTGTAAAATCCTCAGCTCAGCATGTTATCTTGTACCTGGCAAGTGATATGAAATGTTAGCTATTGTTATAGGGTCTGCCCATGAGTCTCTCTTTAAACTGTGTTGGTTGGATTTGGGGACATTCTTGTGGCCAGGGTAGACTCTTCAGAGTCAAGATAGGGTACTGGTTGATAGCTCCAGGCTCTGAAGTCAGATGGCTATGGTGTAAACCCTAGTTTCGCTAATTTACTAATGGGGCAAACTTGGATAAATAATTCAACTTCTCTGGGCCTCAGTTTCCTCATTTACGAAATAAAAATGAAATGAAAAAGAATTGTTGAAAGGTAAAATTAGAGGCTACCTGAAAAAAAATTAGAAGATACCTGTAAAATGCTTAGAAAAGTGTTTGACACTTAGTAAGTACTTATGTTTGCTGGCTTTTATCATAATAATACTTGTTATTTATTGTGTTCTGTCTCTTTTATTGACTCTCTAAAGAGGAAATTGAAGGCCAAGTTTATTTCAAACAAGGCCTCTAACTTCTTCTATCTACATAATATTCCCCAATAATAGCTAGTTGGCACAGTTGAGCCAAGGGCTGAATTTCCTGCCTCTCCATCCCCCATTCTAGGCTGTTGTGTGGATGCACCATTAGACTGAGCTATGAAGAACATCTGTCAGCCATTGCTCACAGAAGCTATGCTATGCCCTTGTGGGCATGGTCCCTGCTTGAGAGACTGAAAGCCATCCCTCCTGCTCCCATTCTTCCCATAAGACATACTGTTCTCGAGGCTGCAAGGAGCAGTGGGAGGGCACACCCCCACAGGCTCTGGGTATCGCCCTGCA